CCTTTAACATTTCCTGTAATGCTGGTTTTGTGGTGATAAACCCCTTTAGCCTTTTTTTTTTTTTTTTTTGTCTACCCTTTCTTCCTCTTTTATTGCTGTTTCCTTATTTTTAACTTCTCTCCTTTTTGTGTGAGTTTTTCTGTTTTAAAAGAGTTCCTGGTAAGAATGGGTGATGAGGAAACTTAAGGAAAAAAACTAAAGGAAAAAATAATACATGTTTACAAGGAACTAAGACACTTTAAAATCCTTTAATTCTTCTACTGCTTAAACAGGTGGCACTTGGTTGTCAAGAAATCTGCATCAAAATCTTATCAAGGGAATGTTCAGATCATTGGCCCATTCAAAATACACATTCCCTTACAAAATAAAATCTAAACTTATGACTTAAGAATATTTTTTCTGGGTTTATTTTCTCCACCTAAGGTAGATGGTATAAGCTACCTAATGGCAAGAACTACTTTACCTATTGTATTTGTATTCACTTCCTCTGCCCCATCACATGTTAAATATGTAACTAGGGCTGAATTGAGCTAGGTTTTCCTAAGGGTTCGCTGTATGATTTTGGAGAAAAAGTTTTAGCCTCTGGACAATGGTTTCTCCAGCTTCAAAAATAAATATATCTCAGTCCATAAACTTTATAAGATGTATCAATAAAACTATTGTATTAGTCAGCTCAGGCTGCCGTAACAAAATACCATAGACTGGATGGACCAAACAAAGATTTCTCACAGTTCTGCAGGTTTAGTTCCACATCAGGGTGTCAGCATGGTCAGTTTCTGGTGAGAACTCTCTTTCTGGCTGGTACATGGCTGCCTTCTCACTGTGTCCTCTCATGGTAAAACAGAGAGCAAGCTCTCTGGTATCTCTTCTTATAAAGACACTAATCCTTTAGGATTAGGGACTCACTCTTATCACCTTAGTCAACTTAATTATGGCCTAAGGGCCCTATCTCCAAATACAGCCAGATTGGGGGTTAGGGCTTCAACATATAAGTTTTGGGAGGGCACACACAATTCAGCCCACAGCAGCCATGATAAATTGTGGTATTTAGACCCTTAGAGTAAATTCAAAATTCACTTACATTATTCACTGTGGATGCCAATAAGAAGATGTAAACAGAGTTTCATGATCTATTTGCATCAGCCTACTTGAAGCCAGGAAGGGGCCACAGGTGATTTGAGGTTGACCTTGTGGTTCTATATATGGCAAGCAAACCACATACATTTATCAGCATTCAAATGAATAATTTTGAAGTTAAATGCAGAAAAGTGTGAACTCTTGGGACTTAAGTGTCAGG